TCCCCCCCCCCCGGTCTCTATCCTGCATCCTGCCCCCGCGCCAATCATCTCAAGTCACACTGCTGCGACAGGAGAAGTGGCCTTACGCTCCACGTTATTGCAGGCCTTGTATCGCTTCCCTCGGTAACGAGTACGTCCCCTTGCTTCGCCGTGCATCGCTCCTTTTTCTTGTTCGGGGCGGGGGGGGGTGGTTGTGGTACGACGCGGCGTTGAAAGGTGAGGGAGGCGGATATCGTCGTTTGTGCAGCGGGTAGGGCGGAGATGGTCAAGGCGGATTGGATCAAGCCCGGGGCTGCCGTGATCGACGTGGGAATCAACTCGGTGGACGACGCCACCACGAAGAAGGGGTGAGTGAGCAAGCGAGCGCGCGCGTGGCGCTAACCTGCGGACGGTGTCGTTTTGATGGTTTTGTATGCGAGGTGGTGGGACATTCCTGGTTTTTTCGTGTCAGCGCATATGGGGTGGACACTCCTGTGGTTTTCTCGTGTAGGGTGGCATGGGACTGCCCGTCGTCCGTCTTGACGTTTGTGCCGTGCTTCGTTTTTGTTGCTTGACGGATTGGGCGCCCAAGCTGCGAGCTGAGGGGATCGCCACGGAGACCACCTCTGCGGGACACGCCCGCCGTTGTCGAAAGGGGGCTCAAGCCGAAGCCGGCCAAACGGTTGTCTGATTTTCGTTTTTCTGTCCGTTGACGGCGCCAGCTGCTTGTTGCTCGCATCCAGCTCCAGCGGCCACAGTGCCAGCGTGTCACGGGTACGGTTAACTACGAATGCTCCAAGTCGCCGCCCTGCTGCCCGTCTGTTTATTGTCTTCATGCCCGCTTGTTTTGGATGAAGATGCGCGATATGCTTTCCATGCTTTCTTGCACCCCCGTGCGCCTGTTCCGACCGTCTTCCGAAAAGGTATCGTCTGGTGGGAGATGTGGACTTCAAGGCAGCCAAACAGGTTGCCGCCAAGATAACTCCGGTGGGTTTCGCATAAATTTCGGCGGTTTCATCACCTTCCTGCTGCTTGCTCAGGAGTTTGTTGGATTTCTCGCTGCGTGATTAAAACATATCCATCCGTGAGCGCAAAGTCGTCGGCAGCCTCCCCGCACAAGTACAGGCAATCCGTATGTTGGTTTTGAGTGTGTGAGGACACGTTTCGCCCACGTTTGCACTTCAACAAGGACATTGCTGTTAATGCCGGCCGCCTCTGGGTGCTGTGCTCCGTGGCAGGTGCCGGGCGGCGTCGGGCCGATGACAATCGCCATGCTCTTGCGCAACACCGTGAACGGGGCGACACGGGCAGCAGCAGCAGCAGCAGCAGCAGGCGGCGGCAGTGCGGGATCTGGGTCAACCCCCAACCTTCCTGTGCCACCTCCAGATAGCTCTTCCGACAAAGTGGCCGCGCCAACGCCGGACACCGCGAGTAGCTAGCGGCCGTAGGTCGAGACGCCTCGTCGGGTGGACACGCTGGCCTCGGTCGGAGCCTTGAAGGCCGATTTCTCGTTCGGGTTTCTTTGTCGAATGTTGCTGTCCATGACGACTAGACAGCGTTGCTCGCTTCGACATAAAGTACCAGATGCGGTTGTTGTTGTTGGAGGTAACGGTTCGCCAGGCAAGCTGTTGTGGCCTGTGAGGGATGCCCACCCATATCTGGTTCTCCCGAAAATCAAATGGAACGTGTTCTTGCGGCGTGGATTGCCCTTGCGCTGTGGGAACGGCTAGACAACATGGCGTGTCCCTTTCCTGCGGAGAATCTTGTTCCGTTTGACGAACGATGTTCCGTTTGACGAACGACGAAGGAGACATCATACCGCTCGCCGATCAGGCCGAACCACGCGAACGAATTTGGCAGAGTCCGGGGGGTGGGAGGGACTGAAAGTTGGTCAGACGGGATGACTTCAGATGCGATGGACTTGCAACACACGAATTAATGGACTTCGGAAACATTTGTTTGTGGCCCGGCCCGTACAAGCCTTGACTCTGTGCTTTTGATGGGACTCAGACACAGAAAATGACGCAAATTCTGAGTACGTATGCCGCACCTGTTCAAACGTTGCCCTCAAAAGCCCTTCCACGTCTACCTGTCCATGACACATGCTGCCACTTGATGCGACAACATCTGGGAACAACACGCACACAAGGAGTACTCCCCCTACCCATACACACACCGTCAAAACTGCTTGTAAGCTAGGACAACCTCTCATTCCTCTCCTTCCACATACAAATTATGTAGATGCATGAAATGATACACTCTGTCTTTACTTATGGTCCGCGCTGCCTACAAATAGATGGGAAAGGTAGCCATAGCTTCTGCCGACACACGGACGGGTGAGGTGACCATACCCACTGCATTTAACACCCACCCACATGTCGGTGATGAAACCCCAACCACACGCCTCTATCGGCGGCCACGTCAGAAGGCAATGATGAGATAATGTTCTCCCGTGCCCTTCTCACATTTTACGACATGCCATTACACAACACGGTAAATATGTTCTCCCGCGCCGCACATGCCCCCATACATCACACACAAAAAACAAGTTGACGAAAATATACACACCCCGAGACGTGCTTGCTCCGCAACCACGTAAGGGTGCCATATTAGAACACCCGACAAACCGAGTTCCCCTAAATCTTCCGTCTACGACTTCCCAACATAACATACATAGACTACAGATAGGTACACAAGATGGCTACCAAACTGCCTTGTTGAGTATGTTACCCACAGGGGAGATATCGTTGTATCCTGTCTGGGAAACCGTAGACATACAGGTAGCCTTTCGCTCATGCTATGGATTCATTGCTAATCTATCTTAGACTTATTTCTATAGGTAGAGATGGATTTGTTGTGTGATATTAAGAAAACAAAAAAAAGAGAATGCTGCACAAGTGCACAAGGCAAAATCGTATCGAGGAGGAGCATGGTGCTACAATGTGAAGTCGAAAAACATTTTTTCGGCCAACCCGCGTGCGGACGATCGGTGCCATTCCACTGACGAACGAGTAGAACGAGCAGGAGACGGCTATCGTGATGACTGATCCTTATTGCGTTGTCGCGACACATCAGACAACCAAAACGACACAGCGTGTACTCTGGAAAGGTGGCAGGAGTACTCCTTGCATGCGGTAACATGATCCCTGACATGTCTTGAAAAAAACATCCTTCGAAACGTCGGAAAGTAAGTGATGTGGTGGTGTGGGCAACCATAATTGAGCAAGCAACGTGCCTGATACGGGGTTAGTCCCTCCGATTGCATTAAAGTCTGTTGCAGCGCTTGTGCGTGACTCATGATCTTTCGCGTCAGAGGATGGATGCGCTCGCATCTTCGCATCTCTTGAAGCACTGCTTTTGTGTCCTGTACTTTGCGGGCGAGTCGAGAATCTCTTGCCACTTGACCGGCGGAAACACTCTCGCGCCCAACGCCACGACCTTGTCGTTGCCATCGTCGCCTTCAAATGCCGGGCTCTCTCTCAAGCAGTCCATCGCCGCCCTGACTGCTGGTGCACGTTTCACCGCCAACTTTCTGCAACGGTCCCTTTCCGTGCGTGGTTTCTCGATGAAATGCGATTCGAAGTCGAAGATGGCGACTTCACGCAGCTGGGCAATCGGTGCCAGCTTTTCTATCGTGCTCGAAAGGATCCTTTTCGTCAACGTCTTGTAGAGACGATTGGACACCTCTTGCCGCTCGTCCAAGCCGATTCGTGCAAACGTGTCAGGGGCTAGTGAGACGGAGAATAGCTCGGATACGACCCTCATGCCATTGCGCGAATAACGCGACACCTCCGTCAGATGATGTACCACGAGGAACTGGTACTTGTCTTTGCCGGTGATGAAAAAAATGGGGGCGATACGGTGAAGGCCTTCAAGCCTTAGCCTGAAGTTCCCCGTACGTAGGGCAGTTCGGAAGGCAATGTACGCCGGGTAGTCATGGAGGAGGAACTGCTTCCACACAACGAAAGTCTTGCGAGACCCCGTCCGTGCCACCAGCCACAGAACCACTCCGTCGACCACCGTGTCCTCTTCCACCGGTCTGTCACCTGGCATCGGCAAACTCAAGTATTCCTCTCGACACAGAGCCATAAACGCCGCCCAAAACGCCGTTATGTGGTGGTGAGCCCGACGGTAGTTGCTCCCCTCCCCCGACTTCGACCCGTCTGTGCCCAAATCCTTCGCCACGAACTCCACGCCAGCACCCCAGTACCGCCTAAGCATCGCCTTGGCCATGTGCAACAGAAAATGCCAATCGCCGGGGTAGCGACGGACTTGTCGGTACTCGCGCGGCTCCTGTGCCATGACGTGGTACATTGTTGTTGTTGTTGTTGTTGTTGTTGTTGTTGTTGTTGTTGTTTCTCACATTAGCTCTACAGTCCACAAAAAATGGGGAGCCCGTGGTCTCAAAACCCGGCACATACGACGCCGCGAGGAAACAAAACAAAAATAGGGTACAAACCACTCGGAACAAGAAAACAAAATGATAAAAAGAAAAAAATAGGTATCGCACCGACCGTTCGAGAAAAGAGCCCTCGGAAACCGATCGAAATAAAACCAAAAAAAAAATAAAGGAGGACGCTTCCCACACCCGCCCAAAGAAAAAAATCAAAGGGTAACGTACCAGCACCAGGCAATACGCACCAGGGCATGGGAGAAACGGAGCAAACAGGACAAAGAGGCGGCAGATAGGCAGACAGCCAGACGTACAAAAACAAAGGCAACAGCAAAGCAAGATCACGGTACCCAACACAGCAGAGCAGGCAGGGAGGTCATGAAAAAAAGAAACACAGAAACACAGCACAGAGGCCGAAGGCAATACAAAGGACATACATAAAGGAGTATAGCATTCAGCAGGGA